CTCAGGGTTTACCGAAACACGGTAAAAATCAACCATTCTAAGCAAATCGTCCGACCATTTCAGCCTTCAAGGGCTGCTCAGCGAAAATGAACCTCAATTTCGCAGCCCACGAGCATGGAAGCCCCTATACCATGCCGGAAACCGTTTCGAAAAGCGCTTCACACCTGAAAGACCACCCTTATCAGCCCAGCGTTCCCGTAAAAAGCCGATCACTTGTAATCACAGCGCTTCCAAAGCGTACGCATCCACGAGCAAAACGACTAAGGGTCAACCTAGGACTAAAAACAATGCTACATCCCACACTTTGAAAGAGAGCACGTCGTGTCCGCTCATCAGTTCACCAGTAGCAGCCGAAACCCAACGTGATAGCCCACTGGTAGGTACAGGTCTGAAATTCAGAGAAAATTGAGTGTCGATCAAAATAGAATAATCTGGCCTTTGTGATTTGTAGCTTTAATTGTAAAGAGTAGAGGGAAGTTGGGCCTTCCAGCACCTTTCATCCAATGACCCAGTTCTAACCATAAGTTGCTATGAGATCCGAAATGCAAAACTCACTGGTTGCGTTCGGCAATGACTCGCGGCACTTCGGTTGTCCTGGAAGTGAATAGAGGGTCACTGGCTGGTGGTCATTTTGATGAAGGTGGTCTGTATGCGATTTTGCGATGACCGTTGGACCAGAGCGGTTACCGACTGGATCCCTCGGGACGTCAAACGAACACCTGGACGACCGCCGGCCCGATGGTCAGACTTCTTCACGAAAGCTCTGAACGAAAGGAATGAAGGACTTCGTGTCCCTCGAGCGAGGAGGGTCCACTGGACAACTCTTGCACGCGACAGGGACGAATGGAGACGTTGCTGGCGCCCGCTCGAGCAAATTCGATGATCAACGGGACGACAGGTGATACAGGTGATTTTGATTATTGGAGGATATCTGGAAGTTGGAACCTAGAATGCAGAAATTTGACTTTGAATTGAAACCTGGACCATTTCTTCTCTACTTTTCAGCCTTCACAGGGCTGCTCAGCAAAACGGACTCTGTTTTTGTAGTCCACTTATGAGTTCCTTATAAGTGCAGGAAACCATTTTGAAAAAGCGCTCCATATAGTGAGAACCTTCCTTGTAAGTGTGGGAACAGTTTCAGCCTAGCTCATCTTGCTCCATTACTGAGATGATTGAAGGCTGTACTCGTTTCAGTTATGAGATCGAAACGTTCCGTTCAATTGCCGATAGGCCAGTGTCGCAGGTGCAATACTACGGAGGATATTTGCCATCCCGTGAGTATTTGACATTGTGCATGTACTGATTTATGCGCTTATCCATGTAAACAATGAACAGTCGGCTTTGAACGATAAGCTACTGTCATTTATCCTGTAAAGGTGAATAGTCCTTCTAGGTACCTCTAAGAGCCTGTAGGCCACATATGCCAACTTTCTGCTCCGTATGACTGTGACGAGGGCAATATGCAGTAAGGTCGTCTCGGAGCAGGTCTTGTCTTGGGATGCTGAGATTGGGATCTCGTTTACTTTGAAAGCTTATTCAACAATCACCAGGCTGCTCTTGTCGCACTTGAAAGCATAAGGATATAGATGTGCAAAACAGGCTTTTAGTGAAGGAGAAATCTAGAGAAGTTGACAAAATCCGCGAATCTCCTTTTTTTCT